GATCTGAAAAGTAGTCAGAGAACCGCTCTCTGAGTTTGGTAAGATGAAATTAGAAAAATTTCCCTTTTTACCCCATTTTGGGTAATTTACCCCGGTTCCCCGACCGCTGGTATAAATAGTTTAATTAAAACGAAAACTTCAAAAAAATTACAAGTATTAGGGTTTGGCTGCCAATTATAATTGTAAATACTATAATTAACGCCAACAGTAAAATAATTAATATTCGTTTATTATCAGGTTTCTTTATACCACTGTCAAACTTGAAAAATATTTTGTAAAAAGTATAAAAGCAATGTCTCTACATTTTATAGTATTATTCGTCAACCACACATGATAATTTCAAGTATTTATACTCAAATTAAAGTGAAAAGTACAAACACGTGTCATGCACAGTACAAATTACAGTTTCATGCACGTTTGATGTCAGATTTAAGAAAACTTTTTTTAAACTTCAATTAAGAAGTACAGTTTTAAATTTGTATTACGAGATTAGTAAAAAACTTTTAATATATATATTGAAGCTATATTTTTTGGTTATAGTATATCAAAATGGAAATATAACAACTCAAGGACTACTAAAATCTATAAGTAATATTAATATCGATAAAACAAAAAAAAAACACTAAATCTGACAAGTCGTTTGACTTTATTAGCTTTTGTGTGAAGAGAGTCGAGATGAGTATTGAGAAGTACCAAGAGATACTGCACGGTCCTTTGGCTGAGTATGTGGGGATCTCATCGGAAATCGGCGACGTCGTTGCCATCCAGAGCCAAGTGGTTCACAAAGCGTTCCAAGCGCAATTAAAATATATTAGTGCGATATACCAAACGAAGCAGCCAAAGCAAGCGGACATTGCAGACCTTCTCCATCCCGTCTCGCAACATATTAAAACCGTGCAAGAATTCTGCAACAAGAACCGATCCTCGCCGCATTTCAATCATCTCTCTGCAATCGGCGAAGGCGTCTCTGCTTTGGCCTGGATCACGGTGAGACCATCCCCCTCTCATTACATCAAAGAAATAAGGGATGCCGGAGAATATTACACGAACAGGATTTTAAGAGAATGGAGGAACGTGGACATCAACCATATCGATTGGGTGAACGCGTGGAGCAGAACGTTGAACGAGTTGCAGGAGTACGTGAAGAATAATCACGCGACTGGCCTCGTCCTCAAGCCTAAGCTCCTCTTCGATGAAATCAATCAAGGTGAGCACATCTGTCGCAACCTGAGGAAAGTGGATGAAAACGCGAGACCGAAACCGAGTCCGAGTCTCGCGCAGGACATAAAAACAGCAACGCCGACGAGCGCTCCTTTCGGGGAGAGAAAGAAGGCCATCACCGAAACTGCAGCCAGGTTCATCCGGGAGTCGAATAAATGGAATATCGAGCACCAGAATGGCAATCACGGTCTGACGGTGTGCGATGCCGGCATGGACAATTCTATATACTTGTATAAATGCGCAGATTCCACGTTGACCGTTAAGGGAAAAGTGAATTCGATTATCCTGGATTCCTGCACGAAGACATCCGTACTCTTCGATAGCGTCATATCGGCGTTGGAATTCATAAATTGCAGGGCCGTTCGGATGCAAGTGATTTCGAAGGTATCGACTATCATGATCATGAATACGGATGGCTGTCAGATATATCTGAGCAGGGACTCTCTGGACGTCCAAATTATCAGCTCGAAGTCCTCAGAAATGAATGTGCTGGTGCCCAGAGGCGCAGGAGATTACATCGAACATCCCATACCAGAACAATACAAAAGCACGTTTGTCCACGGAAGAGGAATTGTGACCGTTGACATGGATAATAATTAACAAAGCTAACATATCTATAATTGTATTATTTTTCTGAATAAAACAAACTTTGTTTCATTCCTTATACATTTTTATATTCCTTAAATATAATTTTGTGTATATCATAGAAACATATACAAGATTCTATCTATACCTTTTAAACATGACTATTGGGACATTACTATAAAATAATTTTCTATAAAATGTCCTTTAATTTGATTGATATTATTTTATTAATATCAAAATTGTATGATTTGGTTGTCTAGAAATTTGTTCGGTTTAGAAATTTAGGAATTTCTGGCTTTCAAAGAGTTAATGTCTTCATTCATTGGAAACTAGACCTGTTTCCAATGAATGAAGACATAAATGTATTTAAAAAGATATATTTTCTTTTGAGATAATATTTTGATTGTTACATATATATATAGTGGATGTCTTAACTATTAGATAGTGCATAATATTAATCTAAAGAAAATTGCACTTTTTTTTTCTATTAAAATTTCATACATTTTACATGAAAGTTGTAAAAATAATTCATGAAAATTGAAACTTTTCATATTTACTAAAAGTCTCTTTGATTTAGATAATATTCTACATAAAATAACAAATATTTATTAAACTATGTACAAAAAAGAAATATATTTATCTTGTTTAGTTTACAAGTTATTTAATAACGAAACAGTAACGCTTCTTTCATGCCACTCTGTATATTAAATTTGAGCTAAACTCAAATTCGCATAGATCTTCCTACGTTCACCTACGCAAGCAGCTTTAATCCGTGTATTTCCATGAATTTTAATGTGTAGAGTATACAGAACAGAATCGATATAAGTATGTTTAATGGTGATCATTTACATGCAAGACATTCATCAGGGGAACCATTCCTGAGATAATGAAAATCCTGTTGCACGTGTTTTATCCGGTGCACTGCAACTGCCAATAAGAAGCTTATGGCTCTGCCCCTTTTAAATACTTTAACGAAGCGCTGCTCTCAGAATACCAAATACAAATCCTCACCATCCCACATTCATATATACACAGTAACAAGTATAAAATATAATAATGCTCATAATAATATAAATACATTTAGAAAATTGTATCTTCGCCAAAAACAATTATGAATTTGTAGTAAAACTAGTTTATATAAGTACAATTTCAGAAAAAGAATGCATAATTACGTTTTTCAAAACAAAATAATTCAAGTTTTTTTATAAGAACAAAAAAATATATGAATTACACAGTTTTCATAATAACGAAAACACATAAAAAAAACAATTGTAGAGTGACAAAAATTGTATTTTTCACAAAATGAATTATGCATTTCCAGCTATATCAATAATTAAATTTTACGCTTTTATAATTACTGAGAATAATAAAAGTGGGTGAGTTTATGAAAAAGAAACATAAAGGAAATAGGGGAAATGAATGTTGGAGGATCCTCAATGTAAAAAATGTTTGTTTATGGATAAAATTTGTTTGGAATTAATTATTATTCTTTTTGATAAGCCTCTTCTCACTCGACTGCGTTTTTTGGACAGCATCCCCTACAAAAAAAAAATAACCGTCCCCTCATTGTTTTCTTACTCCTCTTCAGATATTTACCTTATAAAATATGATATGATAATATTGACTTTGGCTTTCCAATTCTTTCTTATAAATAATAACATCCTTCGATATAACGAAGAAGAAAAAACATCCTTAATTTCGCTAGGAAGAATCAGCAATTAGCGCTCATCTTGAGTGCAATTAAATTAATAATCCTTGCATTATTACAAGCAGCGCGAATCATATTATTTATTTTTTTCTCTTTACACCTTATAATTTGTTCCTTCCATGGAAAGACTCGAGTTTTTAAATCGATGCAAAATATCATTATGAGAAAGTTCTGTTGCGCTAATCGCATTTATTCGTTTCCCAGTAAACTTTGCCAATTATAAATTATGTGAATACTGAAACGAGCGTGAACAACAACAACAACAACGTATATACAGCAAAAAAAATGTACAAGTATAAAATACACAGCTCGAACATAAATTCGTGATAGGGGGTGGACGGACGTGTTGCAGATTGAAACAAATTTAATCCTGTTTTTCGGAATGTATGTGTTGCTGTAAATAGCAACAAAAAGGCGACAAACTTTTTGGAAACATTTCCGTAATTGTCGCTCGATCTGACAACTTTTTGAGTAATTAATTGTGTTTCTGCAACCATACATCAACTAGTTGTGCAAATGTAGATTGCTGTCTCTTTTACGTTGAATTAGTGGACAATTACATAATTTTCATTTTTTTTGCAATCAACCTCGAACCAACTCGAATTACTAATAGTATAAAGTCTTTAAACTAAATACTGAGATGATAAATACCAAACGATCAATTCCTAACCTATCTTAACCATTTATATACCAATGATACTATAAATTGTTCAAACTATTCATACCATTTTCCTAACTTAACCTATTCCTATACTTTCTTCCTATTGCCTCTCCAGCTTCCGCTCATCATCTTCCTTAATGGAGAGCACCCCTGATATACCTAATCTAACCTAACTTATCTTACTTTTTTTATAACATAATCTAATCCCATACAAATAATCCAAACATAATAAAACCTTCTATATCTAACATATTTTATAATTTTATGTCCTAATAGATTTAAAATTAACCTACAGTTAATTTGAGATATATACTAATATTTTAACAATACTCAACCTAATTTAACTCCCTCTGTTCTGACCTATGATAATAACACATACAAACTAACCTTTTTAATCATTACTTTTTCTTTTATGATGTGATGATTAGTTATGGAAACATGCCCTAAGTTTACTTAACCTATTTTGACGTATCTCTAAGATCCTAATCATAAATATCCATTGAATCGTATCCTAACCTGTTCTAACCTCTTATTTATCCGTATGTAAGACGTCATCTCCTATCTAAGGAGAGGAAATCTTACATAAAACCACGGGTGGAATCGTGGTACTGTGGGATTCTTACTTCACTCCTTACCTCACTCTTTACCTCTTACCTTTTTCATCAACATCCAGATCCGGTGTTTTGACATGTCTGAATGTCCGAGCAAGCTCTTCGCTTCTACGTGTGTCCACTATCACTTTCTTCTCATTACAGAGCATCTTGTGACGATGTCCCACTTCTCTTGAGTATCTGGCCAACGAACGTCTCTCATTCCAGTACTTCTCCGAGATTTGCTTCCGCCTCGTGCTTCATCTTTGCTAATCTGCAGCATCCAATGAACGTGTCTTCTTGGCTGTCATCTTCTACGCAGTTCAAGCACTTTTCAACCTACTTCCTCGCTAACCTAAACTCATAGAATTATACGAAACCTAATCTATATTAGAAATTTTAACAAATCTTAAATTAATTCGTCTAATCTTACATAATAAAGACTAATTATCTTATTACAAGTAAGTTTAAAACATTTTAATCCTTAATATATAAATCCAATCCTATCTTTTCAATGGCTGTCCTAACCTACCTGGAGTTAAAATAACATATTCTAACATACTTAATCTAAATATAGTAAAATATTGAAACAGGTTTATTAATTACATGATATATAGAACGTTGGTGATATTTATGATCTGCTTTTAAGTGATATTTAATTAATTATGACTTTAATTTTGAATTTAAAGTATGCATAATGGAAGTCATATCTCTATAGTGTCTGTCCGGTAGGACAGGAATAAATGTAGCAAATAAATGCGATTAATTAATAATATCGTTAATAATATCGGATGGCAGTTCCAAAATACTGTAATAAATCCCGTCACGCTATTGATTAAATCAATTCCAGCATAAATCTATTCAAATTACCGTTAAACGTTGATCCGATTTGGGTCCCTCCGCCGCTGCCACCTCCGCCGCAGTTACCTGTAACGCACAAAGGGTTTGCTACTCCCTTCCCATCCTTAAATGTAACATAATTACACGTAATTTCGTTACACATATTATAAGTTTATTAAGTCCTCGGGTTGCCTTAAAGCGTCAAACCTATGTCTTATATACGGAGAAACACAATCAACTAATCTAATCCTCTCTTGGGGGGACGGATGAACCGGAATAAGGCGCAAAGTCCCTTCGGTGCCTTCGTTTCATGTTGCATTAGCTTTTATCCATCACATGCCCAAGCACAGAACAGGCCGTAACGAAAACCTCACTACTTCATACCTTCGAAAATTCAAAGTGTATACTTTAAAATGAAGCTATAAATAGTGCTGACCTCTAACATTCACATTGTTAAACTTTTTTTTACAAAATAATAGTAAATTTGCTATTTTCATCTACAAACAGAAAATAGCAAGGAAACTAACAAGGATTAAATCTATCATTGACCATTCTTTAAGTATCACAAAATTGGATTTATCATTTATCCATATTTTCTCTAAATTTACTTGTTTTATGTATACAAATATATACCTTCTAAAAATGTAAGATTAGATGGAATTGGTCAGTTATATAAGAAATTAGACAGCGTTTATAAAAAAAAACAGGTTGGATCTAGTTATTTTTTTCTGAGAGAAGTGTAAAAAATTGAATATATGAGTCCTTTGATTTCTTTAATTTCTAGTTTCATATAAAACATATCAGTGTTTTCCAAACTGTAGCCTGAGGTTTTTATAGTGAAGGCGCATAACTACATTACAATGTTGCAATGTTAAAAAGTTTAGGAATCCCTGCTATAGTATATATAGGAATTAGTGTTATATATAGGAATTAATATTACTTTTAGTTTTAAAGTGTTATATCAGACACAGTGTGGTTGCAGCATTATATATTAGTTTGGCAATATGAGCATATGATCGAGTCGTGTTTGTATTTGTCACATAAATAAAGCAACAAAAAAAAAACAAGTATGTGAATATTAGAGAAAGCCGTAATAAAGTAAGTCCGCTCAAAAGCAAGCCGGAGTATTAAAGTGAATTTATAGTTCTCGTGAAGAGACGGAAAGAGCAACTAAAGTTTATGATGTGAAATTGTAATTCCATATACGAGTCCGTGG